AAAAGACAAATTCTACAAAATATGGAATAAATGGATTAGCTTTGTGTCCCCATCCACCCTGAATTTAGGTAAGACCAGCTCTGAATTGGTGCATCTCCCATGTATCGTACAATGTCAGGTTGACCCTCAACTTCATAATTTGTTCATAATGTACTTTATGTAAATAAGTTAAACATGCTGCATTATGTAAACACTGTCAAGCACCGAGATCATTTTTTGTTACCTGAATGTAAAACAAAAGGAATAAGAAAGTCTTTTTTTTTTCCGACTAAATAATATCAATGCACTTTATTGTAACAAGTCCTTTTTTCAATAAAAATATAATAAAAAAAAGTATAAATTACTGTCAAAGTGAAGTCCATAAAATCTGTTTATTTTTAAAGTTTGCTACAATTTAAATGAGCCGGACACCAAAGAAAGTTTGGTCAGCTGAAGTCTTGTGCAGTGATTTATTTTGTCTGTGTCACCGTGACGTCTGACGTCTGGTGTTCATGGAGGTTGGAGGACATCTAATGGTCAAATGTAGTCAGTGAAGCTTTGGCAGAAAACAGTATGAGAAAAAGCAACAACACACAGTGGATTACATTATCCATGTAACCACATAACAAACATTACAATCACCTCTTGGTAGAGATGATTGTAAGAGCATTCTGTTTTCTGTAGTTTGAACTATCAAGACAAGATACTGAAGCAGAAAGAGCATTCACCTCCACCCACCAATAACGGGTCATGTTTAGTCATGTTTGGTCTTTACATCTCACTGTGAGCTGTTTTATATTCTTTGACCTCTGAGGACTCTACGAGAGAACACTACACCAACTAGAGAAGTAGAGAATTGTTACAATCTTGTGTCTTTGTCTCTCTGGAGCCGTTAATTTGAAAAATCCTGTCAGTCACTAGAATTTTAACGCCATAACATTTTCCAAGATGGCCGCCTCTTCCAACAGAAGAAGCAGCTACTGCAAACTTTAAGAAACTTCAAGAAAAAAGTAAGAAATAGTAAGAAACTAAGAGATGTTAAAAAATACTATTGGATTAGATATTCAGGTGGTGCAGTAGCACTGTTGCCTCACAGTGTGCAGTGCTCTCAATGGTATTTGAACATTAGTGTGGTGGTTAGAATTTGATCCAGGGCCTTTCTGCGCGGAGTTGGTATGTTGGTGTGGGTTCTGTCGGGATACTCCGGCTTCCTCCCACAGTCGAAAAACGTGCAGTGAGTGGGGTCGGGTTAGTTGGTGATTCTAAGCTGCTCATAGGGATGAATGTGAGTGTGATGGTTGTCTCTCTCTCTGTGTGTTTGCCCTGCAACAGACTGTTGTGGTTCCTACAGTCATTTAGACAATTCCAGTAATATAGTTACTGTGTTCTTGTTAATGATAAACTACAGATTTACCTCAAATTACTAAAATATCTGTACTTAAGTACGAGAACTGATTCTAGAACATAAATATCTGCTATCGAAAGAATCGATCATTATGTGTTTGGACTAATATTCA